GCAATTATTTTTTGGATATGACAGCAAAAGCACAAACAGCAAGATGAAAGATCAACAACTGGGACCACATCAAACTTACAAGCTTCTGCACCACAAAGAAAGAATCAACAAAATGAAAACGCAGCCTACAGAATGGGAGAAAGTATTTGCAAACTATGTGTCAGATAATATCTGAAATATAGAAAGAACTCCTACAACTCAATAACAAAGAAAAATCTTATTTAAAAATGGGCAGTGGGAGCTGCCTGGCTCAGTCAGAAAAGCATCCTGCTCCTGATCTCAGGGTTATGAGTTTGAGCCCCACATTGGGTGTAGCCATTACTAAAATAAATAAATAAACATTTTTAAAAATGGGCAGAGGAACTAGACATTTTCCCAAGGAAGACACACAAAAGGCCAGCAGGTACATAAAATGATGCTTAACATCACTAATCATCAGGGAAATGCAAATAAATATCACCTCACACCTGTTGGAATGGCTATTATCCAAGAGGCAAAGATAACAAGTGAGAATGTGGAGAAAAAGGAACTCTTGTGCACTGTTGGTAGGAATGTAAATTGGTATAGCTACTGTGGAAAACATGGGGGTTCCTCAAAAAAAATGAAAACAGAACTACCATATGCTCCAGCAATTCCACTTCTGGGTATATATCCAAAGACAATGAAAACAGGATCTCAAAGAGATACCTGCACTCTCATGTTTATGTAGCATTATTCACAGGAGCCAAGATATGGAAACAGCCTAAGTGTCTGTCTACAGATGAATGGATGTTGAAGATGTGCTATGTTTATACAATGGAGTATTATTCAGCCGTGAGAAAGAAAGAAATCCTGCCATGTGCAACATGGACGGCCCTTGAGGATATGCTAAGTGAGCTAAGTCAGACAAACACTGCATGCTATCACTTGTATGTGGAATCTGAAAAAGCCAAAGTTGTAAAAACAGAGTAGAACAATGAGTGGGGGTGGGAGTAGGAGAGATGTTGTGGAAGGGTACAGACTTGCAGCTGTAAAGAAGTCTTGGAAACCTAATGCACAGCATAGTGCTGACAGACAATATTACTGTATCATAAATATCAAACTTGCCAAGAGACTCTATCTTAATTATTCCCACCCCTAAAAAGAAATAATAATTATGTGATGTGATGAAGGTGTTAGCTAACGCTGCAATGGCAATCATATTACGAAATATAAATGTATCAAATCAACATGTTATATAAACTTACACAATGTTACATGTCAGTTGTATCTCAAAAGAAGTCCTTCTCTTTCAGAGATGTACGCTCAAATATTTATTAATGAAATATGATCACTGTGATTTACTGCAGAATAATACAGGAAAAGGGGACCTGGATGAGATGATGGTGAAATAAGACTGGCCACAATTTTTTAAAATTTATTTTAAGTTTGTTTATTTTGTGAGAGAGAGAGACAAGGAGGGTCAGAGAGAGAGGGAGAGAGAGAATCCCAAGCAGGCTCCACACTGTCCGTGCAGAGCCAAATGCAGGGCTCCAACTCCTGAACCGCGAGATCATGACCTGAGCTGAAATCAAGAGTCTGACACTCAACTGACTGAGCCACCCAGGTGCCCCTAGACTGGCCACAAATTTTAACAGTTAAAAGTTGGTGACAGGTTCATTTTACTTTCCTGCTTTTGTATATTTATGAAATTCTCAATGAGAAAAACAAATTTAAAGAATTTTGTATATACACACGTTTATATATGTACAAACATACATATACACACACTACTGTGTGTGTGGTGTGTGTGCATAGTGTGTGTAGTGAGTGGCACTCACCTAAGCTGCTGCACCTTCTTTTGGCTTCTTTTCATCATAACTGACCTCCATTATTTCTGTAAAGTGGATCTTCATTTTTTATCTTTCATATTGCTTAAATGAAAGATGGCCTGCTAATCCAAAATACTGCTTTTATGTTAGAAATGAACATTCATGGGCGCCTGGCTGGCTCAGCCGGTTAAGCATCTGACTTCACCTCGGGTCATGATCTCACGGTTCGTGAGTTCAAGTCCTGTTTTGGGTGAGCCACTTCTGTGCGCCTCTCTCTCTCTCTCTCGCTCTCTCGCTCTCTCTCTCTCTTTCTCTCTCTCTGCGCCTTGCTTGCACCCTCTTTCTCTATCTCAAAAAAAAAAAAAAAAAAAAAAAAAAAAAAAAGATGGGGCACCTGGGTGGCTCAGTCGGTTAAGCGTCCGACTTCAGCTCAGGTCATGATCTCAGAGCTCATGAGTTCGAGCCCCGCATCAGGCTCTGTGCTGACAGCTCAGATCCTGGAGCCTGCTTCGGAGACGGTCTCTCCCTCTCTCTCTGCCCCTCCCTTGCTCATGCTCTATCTCCTTCTCTCTCTCTCTTAAAAATAAATAAACATTAAAAAAAGTTTAAAATAAAAAAAAAAGAACATTCATGCTTCCTAATTGGAGGAGGGTATTAATTAATCCAAGAGTCCCTGTTTTTATTTATATTTTATTGCTTCTTTTAGCTGGCTGCCTTCTTCCCTGCATCATGCTCTTCCTTTTTGTTGCTTTTCCACTCTTATCTGCAAGTTAGAATCACCTGAGGAGTTGGGAAAAAAAAAGCCCAGGTCCCATCTCTGCAGAACACTTACATACATAATTAATTGTTCGATGTCTTGCTTTTCTTGTAAGCAAGGCCTGTGTCCCCAGTGCCTATTACAATACCTTGAACATAGTTATTTAATAATTGTTAAATGACTGTTTCTACTTGTGATATATCTTAATTTTATATTGGAAAGAATTGGAACTATTCTTTTGCAGAAAAACCAAGAGAGTATTTAATATCTGTATTGGAACGACTGAGAATTGCCAAAATGACAGGCTTGGCTTTTCCTTTCTTTATGGATCATTCTAACATTGTGTCTATGTTTGAAATGATGGACACTTCGAATAAAGGCACCATATCGTTCGTGCAGTACAGAGAAGGTCAGTTATCATCTCAATTAAAGCAATAGTTTGTGGCCATTCCATAACTTTCCCTAGCTGAAAATAATTCTCGCTTCATAAATTTTCCTTTCTCCTCATTCTGATTTTACAGCCTTAAAAACCCTGGGTCTGTTGACTGCAGATGAAGTTTTAAAAGATGATGGACATGCAGTAACTCTGGATAAATTCAGACGTGAAGTGTAAGTTTATTTTTACGTGACTGATGTTTAAATAATACGGCATGACTTAAAGTACAATGAAAACAATTTAAAACATAAGTTCCTACCTTTTGACAGAAACATTTCAGTCCCTTGAAACTTTCAGCTGTCTAGAAAGCGAGGAGTGACAGCAAAATGTCAAGCCTGGGGGCAGGCGGCAGAGGGAGAAGGTGCTGGAATTAGGAAGTTTCTGGGGCACTTCCATTCTTTTCTCAGTGGGAAAGCCCAGCAGTTCTCAGAAAATGAAGTGGAGAAGCCCCAGTGTTCTGGAACTAACAGAAAAGTTCTGAGCCCAAATCCCTAGTTGGGAAATTTCTGTATAAAATATGGAGTAATAGAATTTCTCTCAAAGCATTTCCTCAAAATTATTTATCACCAGGTTAAGTATTTACCATCAGTATATGTTGTGAGGCCCCTGGCTGACTCAGTCAGTAGAGCATGTGACTCTTGATCTTGGGATCAGGAGTCCAAGCCCCCATTGGGTGTAGAGCTTATTTAAAAACAAACAAACAAACAAACAAAAAACAGTACGGGAGACTACGTGGCTCAGTCAGTTGAGCGTCCGACTCTTGATTTCAGCTCATGTCACGGATCTTGCAGTTCATAGGATCGAGCCCCACATCTGCGCCATGCCAAAAGAGTGGAGTCTGCTTGGGATTCTCTCCCTCCCTCCCTCTCTGCCATTCCTCCCCACATAAGTAAAAAAATAATAATAAAGAAATAGGATAGGTTGCATGCCAGCCTGACAGTTTTATTTATTTACTTACTTATTTAAGCAGGCCCCATGCCCAGTATGGGGCTCAAACCCACCACCCTGAGATCAAGAGTTGCATGCTCTACCACCTGAGCCATCCAGGGGCCCTAGGACAATTTTAGATGCAAGTTATATTACAGCTTTAAAAGTACTGACTAAATGCTGAATCAGAAAACAAAAAAATTGGAATAACATTTGATAGTTGTAGAAGGCCTCTAACCAATGTAATTCAATTTGTTTAAATGTTTTGTTCTCTAAGGATTTATTAATCAAGAAATTGGTATGTAACATAGTCCAAAAAGCCAAGGAAAAGTCAAAGAAAAAAGAAAGTTTAAGATTCCCGTCTCATTATCAGTTACATAAATATTAAACAAAAACTGTTTAATTCCCATCCTTGCCCCGGGGAGAGACTGAAACACAGTGCCCTGGCCTGAAATGTTTCATCCAAAAGAAAAGGCTGCCTGCCCACTGTCCTGGAATGGAATTAGGAAGGATCATTTGTGGAATATGAGAGCAATTCTATTTTGGTCACCACCTCATAATGTTTTCTTAGAGGAAAGACAGTGAATTTCCAAACCAGATACGGGAACTTCAATTATGAACATATATTCTAAAGTGATTTTTTTTTTAATGTATTTGCTGTGTTTGATTATCTACAACAGTCTCCCTTAATTAGCACAGGAAATTGAAAATTGCTTGTAATTTATTATTCTCTGCTCTTGTATCTTGTTCAACAGACATACTTAGCATTTACATATGTAAATGGAATTACTCGGAGTTTTCATGACTTCTGAGTTTTGTGGTTTTGTTTTCTTAGGAACAAGAGGATGGAGGAAATATGGGCAGTGTTTTAATAATGCCATCAGTCCAAGATAATAAATGATTCCATAAAGTTTTCAACTGTCCAGTTTCATTAACTCAGAACTTCATCACATAACTTGACATCCAGTTGGCCTCCTCTTTGTTAAACACCAAAACTCCAAAACAGGAAAAGATGCTTTATTTTCCCGTGTTAGGCCAGTTTGTCCTCAAATTAAGTAGAATCTCAACATCTTGTTGAGCCAGTTTGTAAATTCCAACTTCGTTTAAGGCCTCGGTGGCAGGAGGCTGCCCTGAGGCTGACTGCAGGACGTCTTTCAGAAGGAGGGCAGAGCCAATGTTCAGATTCAAAACAATACACGCTTCTTTGACACTGTTTAAGAAAAAAAAAAAAGCAGGAGGGAAATGAGATATCCATCATCTGTATCATCACGTTGTTCCATAATATTTTCATTTTCAGAAACTAAACAGCTTCCCTGCACTGCTAATCCACATCCCTCTCTAGAAAGTATTTATGGATTTATTATTTGGCTCTTTTAACATGTAAGGACAATGTATGCATATAGTGTTTCTATTTCATTAGATTACTATAATGTGATAGGATCATTGTTTTCCATATGTGTGTGTTACTCCAAAAGGTAATATTGACACTAACATAATAGCCTATTAAATGTGGCTAAGACTTTAGGTAGATTACAATATGGGAAGAGAAACTAATAAAAAAGAAAAAAAAATTTCAGATCTCTTACTAAAATAAAAATCATTTTTTCATTTTATAATAACTTTAAAGGGACTACTTTATAATCTCAAACTCCTCTCCCCAATAATTTAAACTTCAAACCAATAATTCTAAAAATGGTTTGAAGAATTTTTCTGACATTCATTTATAGTTACGCTTAGAACCAAAATCAACATAAATATGTAAGAAAACCACTTTCTTCATGCCTGGCCTACTATTAGGTACCAGGCATATTTTTAATTTCTTCTATTTATTGACTATGGTACAACTGCACTTGCCTTTATTTTCTATTTGTCTCTCCAGTAACAGGCAAATAGAAGCATGAAACCAATGCTGGGAACAAAGCCCACCCAGCCCATAACTCAGATCCAGTTCTGATAAATTTGGGGGGGATGGGGGTCATGGGTCACACCTTAGAGTAGCTGGGTACATGATGAATGTTTTCAATTTTTAGCTGATGCTGTATTTATGCCACCACACATCACAGGGCCCCTAGGGCTGTGAAAAGAGGAATCAACATCCTGTAAAGGTTGATGCCATCAACAGTCATTGTTAAGTTCTGAGCTTACTGTTTGAAGTAATTTTCTGGCCTCTTGCAATAGCGGGAGAACAGGGGGAACAGGTTCCGAGTCATATCAAACTGGAGCTGAGCTGCCCCTCCCTCGTTGAAATGATTGGCAAGAACAATCTGAAACAAAGAGCAGTTCGTGTCACACGTGCCTTTGCCATCAGGGCCCCGGAACGCCGCCCGCTCTTGCTTACTTCTTGGTAGATGTACACATCCAGCTTCTCCACAAGCACCTGCCAGAAGACTGTGAACAAGGAGAAGCAAAGCTGCTCCTCCAGCTGGAGTAAGCGGTCTCTCACGGTGAGCAGCAGCGGGCAGGCCGAGCTGGACAGGGACATCACCGCCTGCTCCGACTGCGACGGCAGCGACAGCCACCTGCGAGGGACCAAGACCGCACCGCCTGCAGCGCGTTACATTTTACTACGGAATCTTCAAAACCTTGTACTTTGAGAGATGTGACCAATCATTTTACATGTGGGGAAGTGCACTGTCCTGGGGCATCTTGGTTGGATAAGAGCAAAATGTACAGCCCAACATTAAAAGCCGTCTCAGAAAATAAATATAACTATATTGATACACTGGTTCTCCATTAAATACTCCCTTATTTAATGAGGATGACACATCATTTCCTTAATGTGACTTACTGAAATAATTACAAAGTGGTTAAAATGTAACATGTATTAGCATCTAAGACAGGTAATTTTATGCTCTGGTTTTCCGCAGAATAACAGGGACTAAGCACACTTGCAAGCGGATTACAAATGCTCGGTGTGACGGGGGACTGTGCTGGAGAAGACAGACCCTGCCTGTTCTCACAGAGTACGCAGTGTGGGGAAAGGGACAGAGACCACAGAATCACGACAGTGGATACAGAGTACCCTGCAGGCACGCATGCAGAGTACTGTTGGGGCACCAGGCCACTCAGCCCCACATCCCAGACCAGTTGTGACTATCTCTGTAGTCACAACTACATCTGAGGGTTAAATTAGGATCAGTTTATTCTGATTAAGAATGTCTGAACAGGGCCCCCTGCGTGGCTCAGTTGGTTGTCTCTGACACTCGATTTCAGCTCAGGTCGTGATCTCCCAGTTCATGGCTTTGAGTCCCATGTCAGGCTCTGTGCTGACAGTGCAGAGCCTGCTTGGGATTCTCTCTCTCTCTCTCTCTCTCTCAGGATGAATAAATAAACTGAATAAATGTCTGAATATATTTTAGAAAGCTTTCTATCAAAAATGGTTAAAAGTCTGTAGAGCAAAAGGCCAAACTCTGCTATCTAGACACCTTGGAAATTTGCATATATCATCTTTCAATCTTTTTTAAAGTTTTTATTTTAATCACTGATATTCATCACCAAGTGGGCGCCTTAATCCCCATCACCTATTTTACCCATCCCTCCACCCACCTCCCCTCTGGTAACCATCATTTGGTTCTCTGTAGTTAAGAGTCTGTTTCTTGGTTTGCCTCCCTCTTTTTTTCCTTTGTTCATTTGTTATGTCTCTTAAATTCCACATATGAGTGACATCATATGGTATTTGTCTTTCTCTGACTGACTTATTTTGCTTAGCATAATACTCTCTAGCTCCATCCCTGTTGTTGCAAATAGCAAGGTTTCAAAAATTTTTTATGGCCAAATAATATTCCATTGTAGATATACACCACATTTTTTTTTTTATTCATTCATCTATCAGTGGACACTTGGGCTGCTTCCATATCTTGGCTCTTGTAAATAATGCTGCCATAAACATAGGAGTGCATGTATTCCTTTGAATTAGTGTTTTCATATTCTTTGAGTAAATACACAGTAGTGTGATTCCTGAATCGTGGGGTAACTTTTTGAGGAAACTCCATACTGCTTTCTAGAGTGGCTGCACCAGTTTGCATTCCCACCAACAGTGCACAAGGGTTCCTTTTACTCCACACGCTCACCAACACCTGTTGTTTCTTGTGTGTGTTTTAAGTTTGTTTATTTATTTTGAGAGAGCGAGCAGGAGGGGCAGAAAGAGAGGGAGAGAGGGAATCCCAAGCAGGCCCCACACCGTCAGTGCAGAGCCCGACATGGGGCCTGAACTCATGAAACCGTGATACTAGGACCTGAGCTGAAACCAAGAGTCAGACGCTTAACCGACTGAGCCACCAGGTGCCACGTGTTTCTCGTGGTTTTGATTTTTAGCCATTTGGACAACTATGAGGTGATAGCTCACTGTGGTTCTGATTTGCATTTTCCTGGTGTTAAGTGATGATCAGCATCTTTTCATGTGTCTGTTGGCCATCTGGATGTCTTCTTTGCAGAAATGTCTGTTCGTGTCTTCTCATTTTTGAGTGGATTGTTTTGGGGGTGTTGTACCAGTTCTTGATCTATTTTGGATACTAACCCTTCATCAAATATGTCATTTGCAAACATCTTGTCCCATTCAGTAGTTGCCTTTTAGTTTTGTTGATTGTTTTCTTTGCTGTGCAGAAGCTTTTTATTTAATGTAGTCCCAATAGTTTTTGTTTTTTGTTGTTGTTTTGTTTGCTTTTTTTCCCTTGCCTCAGGGGACCTATCTAGAAAAAAGTTGCTATGATCAATGTCAGAAAAATTACTGCCTATATTCTTTTCTAAGATTTTTATGGTTTCGGGTCTCACATTTAGGTCCTTAATCTATTATGAATTTATTTTTGTGTATGGTGTAAGAAAGTGGCCCAGTTTCATTCTTTTGCATGCAGCTGTCCGGTTTTCCCAGCACCATTTGTTGAAGAGACAGTCCTTTTCCCTTTAGATATTCTTTCCTGCTTTGTCAGAGATTAATTGACCAAATAGTTGTAGGTTTATTCTGGGTTTTCTATTCTGTTCTTTTGATCTATGTGTCTATTTTTGTGCCAGTACCATACTGTTTTGATCCTACAGACTTGTAATAGAACTTGGAAGTCCAGAATTGTGATGCCTCAGCTTGCTTTTCTTTTTCAAGATCGCTTTGGCTATTTGGGATCTTTTGTAGTTTCATCCACGTTTGATAACTGTTTGTCCTACTTCTGTGAAACATGTTGCTGGTATTTTGATAGGGATTGCATTAAATGTGTAGGTTGCTTTGGGTAGTGTAGGCATATTAACAATATTTTTTCTCCCAGTCCATGAGCATGGAATGTCTTCCCATTTCTCTGTGTCGTCTTCAGTTTCTTTCATCAGTGTTTTGTAGTTTTCTGAGTATAGTTCTTTCACTTCTTTGGTTAGTTTTATTCCTGGGTATCTTACTGTTTTTGGTGCAGTTGTAATGGGACTGTTTTCTTAATTTCTCTTTCGGCTGAGATGTAACAGGTTTCTGTACATTGTGTACACTGTGACTTTGCTGAATTCATTCATCAGTTCTAGCAGTTTTTTGGTGGAGTCTTTTGGATTTTCTATATACGGTATCATGTCATCTGCAAACAGTGAAAGTTTGACTTCCTCCTTACCGATCTGGATGCCTTTTCTTTTTGTTATCTGATTGCTGTAGCTAGGACTTCAGTACTGGGTTGAATGTGATGGTGAGAGTGGACAACCTTGTCCTGTTCCTGACCTTAAGGGACAGGCACTCAGCTTTTCCCACTGAGGATGCTATCAGGTTTTCACACATGGCCAGGCCAGTTTTTCACACATGGCCTTTATTATGTTGAGATACGTTCCCTTTAAACCTACTTTGTCGAGGATTTGTTGTCATGAATGAATGTTGTACTTTGTCAAATGCTTTTTCTGCCATCTACTGAAATAATCACATTATCCTTCTCCTTTCTCTTATGTTGATGTGATGTATCATACTGATTGATTTGTGATACTGAACCACCCTTGCAATCCAGGAATAAATCTCACTTGATCATGGTGAATGATTCTTTTAATGTATTGTTGGATTTGGTTTGCTAGTATCTTGTTGAGGATTTCTGTACCCGTGTTCATCAGGGATACTGGCCTGCAGTTCTCTTTTGTTGTGGAGTCTTGGTCTAGTTTTGAAATCAGGGTCATGCTGGCCTCAGAATGAATTTGGAAGTTTTCCTTCCTCTTCTATGTTTTGGAATAGTCTGAGAAATATAGGTATTTATCATCTTTCAACTTTTAGCAAACTGGATTTGAGAGTTGAGTAATAAGAAAATATGAAGGACTTACCTTTCTTTTTTATACAATTTTGCAGCATCTTTAACTTCTCTAAAAACATGGTCTACTTGGCGGGTCAACATGTCATGCTTTAAACGCTCCAGTAGGTTAATCATGTCATCAAAGACAGAACTCTCCATAGAGGCCAGCTGTCCCAGCTGCAATTTACTGAGGGTGTTATTGTCTGCAAAGACCTCCAGTGCTGCCTGCTGAAGTTGCAGGAAGAACTGAAAGCAAAAATGTATTAACATGGTCATTAAGATGCTTCCTTTTTAACAGCATGAAATAGAATTCATGTACTACAACTCACTTGTTTAAAGTGTACAATATATTGGCTTTTAGTGTATATTCAGAATTGTGCATCTAACGCCAGTGTCAATTTTAGAATGTTTTCTTTACTCCAAAAAGATACCCCACACTTAACCATCATCTCCCAATCCCCTCCGTGCACCCTCCCACCCTAGGCAACCACTCATCTTTCTGTCTCTATCGATTTGCCTCTTCTGGATGTTTCACATAAATGGAATCCTGTAATTTCTGGCTCTTTCTGACTGGCTTCTTTCACTTAGTATGTTTTCAAGGTTCATCTATGTTGTAAGATGTATCAGTACTTAATTTCTTTTAATTGCTTAATAACATTCCATTATACGGCCGTACCACATTGTATTTAGCTATTCATCAGATGACAGGCAGCTGGGTTCTTTCTCGTCTATTATGAACAATACTGCAGTGAACATTTGTGTGTATGGTTTTGTGTGGACAAATGTCTCCAATTCTCTTGGGTATACTAGGAGTAGAACTGCTGGGTCATACAGTAATTCTGTGTTTAGCTATTTGAGGACCTGCAGACTCTCTTCCACAGTGGCTGTACCATCTTACATTCCTACCAGCTGTGTGTGAGGGTTCCAACTTCTCTACCTCTGCACTAGCAATTGTTATTATGTCTTTTTTATTATAGCCATCTTAGTTTATATTTAGTGATGTCTCACTATGATTTTAATTTGCATTTCCCTGATGGCTGATTTCTTTAAGTACTCATTTTCTCCGAACACAGACTGAGAGTTGTAGTAAGCAGATTTATGAGAGTTAAGAGAATTAAAATGTCATTTTTACAGTGGCATTTTAGGTAGAATATGTATTATTTTTTTCTGCCCTACAGAAAAATAACGCTGTGGATATTTAGCAAGAGATTAAAGGCAACCTAAATGCCCATTAATAGGGGACAGGATATGGCCACAATAAGTGACTGTTCAGGGATGGACATGTGAGAGGCCACACTGGTATTTTCTGCTGAACCTATCAGAGAAGAGGCACTGGTCCTCTCAGTGCCTGGACAGTGGGAGCCTGGAGCCACCTGTGGCCACACTCCCAGAGCCTGCCTGACAATGAAGCCAGAAGGGAACAAGTCCAGGGCAGCCATGCCTACTGCTTCCAGTTACACAGATTCCTCACCGACTCACCCCACTCCCCCTCCCCACTCAGGCCAGCATCAACCCAGCTTCTGTCACCTACAACTGAAAAATTCCTGACTCTGAACGGCTGGGTATGTCTGGCTTGGCACAATCTGGCAATGGACAGACAGCTATTAGTACAGAATCGAAATTAATGGAAGGTGAGCTCTGTCCACTCTTCCTTTTTTCTATCTAGGCAATACAAGAGCATTAATGATTTTTATTTTAAGCGTTCACAGGCTGAAAGACCATGAAAATGGGTAAATAACTTCTTATATTAAACAGAATTTGTAAAATCAGAACACACAAGGACAAAAAATTCATTCATGATTTGAGGAGCTACTCTAAATTTGGTTATTCTTCTGTTGACAGAAGGACCCAGTTAATTCAGCAGCGCATTACAAATTTCCTAAGGACAGGGATGATGGCCAATTCATCTTCGTTAACAGACTATGGCACCAAGTAAAAGTAGTTAATGATGTTCCACAGATAATTCGTTGAAGCTAAAAATCTGGCTTCGAATGAGTCTCTTATTAGATCATCTGGCACAAGAATCAGGAATGACAATTTGTTTTATGACAAAGCTTAGCAGAAAATGGAGCAGTGTGGGGGCTGAGTGAAAAAAGTACTTACTAAAATGAGGAAAACAACACATAAAAGTACACAATGAGAATTGTGTAGCATACGCAATAGAATACAGCCCATGTGTTCTAATTAGGTGACTTTATAAACAAATGCATTAGTCAGTACACTCTATATTCATTTTATGAAATAATTATTTTGTGTCTTATCTTCCTTGCTTAGCAGAATGATACTATGAATGTGGATCTCAGTTAACATTTTTGTTGAAAAAGGCTTTTAAGTCCCAGCCAGAGTCTAGAATATAAACTATGTTTATCAGGTTTTTATCTTATTTATGTCTGTTATTACATTTATTTTTGTTTCCTATTTTTTTAATTACCCTGTATGTACTTAAGATAAAGACTTTTTTGTTTATTCTTTCACAGAAAAGGAATACATTTTCTATATAATGCGTTAGCAGTATATACTTTTTGTTAGAAATTCATAATTTAAAATATATTATTTTTAATAAAAACTTAAAAAACAAACATATATCTATTATTATGTTTTCAAGACTCTGTCCTTAACCTGGACATTGAGTATTTTTAAATGCCTATGTTTGATTATATTTCATTTCTGCTTTTTTTATTACATTAAGACTTGACAATATACAGACATTTTAATTTACCTTGTCCACCTATGTGACTCATGTGAACACACTCAAAAATTATGTTTTCTAGTATACTATGAACTTATCACCAATCCTCAGTTAATCAAGCTTTCGAATTATTCTACCCTGGAATTTTTCAATTCCCACTTTATCTACCACATTTAAAAAGTGGTATTATTAAGTCTTTAGTCAACATTATAGTTGTTTTGTTGTTTTACTTTCCTATTTTCATTTCATGACACAATCATATAATACTTTACATTTACAATGTACCTTAGTACAGTTTGGTTTTTTTTTCCCATTTAATGTATACTTCACTTTTTTTTTTTTTTTTAATTTTTTTTTTTCAACGTTTTTAATTTATTTTTGGGACAGAGAGAGACAGAGCATGAACGGGGGAGGCGCAGAGAGAGAGGGAGACACAGAATCGGAAACAGGCTCCAGGCTCTGAGCCATCAGCCCAGAGCCTGACGCGGGGCTCGAACTCACGGACCGCGAGATCGTGACCTGGCTGAAGTCGGACGCTTAACCGACTGCGCCACCCAGGCGCCCTGTATACTTCACTGTTTTATGGTCATGCAAATTCTCTGTTAATACTTTCTGTCATGAAACCTACTTCATGGGGCACAGTGGTGAAAACCCAAGCTGATTTCTGTATCTATACACATGATCAGGGAATAGTGATTCCAAACCCAAGAGCACCCTGTCCAAGAAGTTCCTGGAGCTCCTCTGAGGTCATTCTAATATCTAAACAGCATCAAAGGAATTAATCTATGTTAAAGTTTTAAAGGCTAATTAAGTTTCTTCATTTTTGGCTAGAAATACATATTGGAAAATCTGGTTAGCAAAAGCCTTGAAAACCAGTATAGTCTTGGATTAATAAAAAGAATAAACAGAAATTATTTAATAATTGTATTTAGGCAGACCAAATGAATGTGTGTGGAGAAAGGAAGGATAAATAAAATTCTTGGAGGCAAAAGGCCTTACAGTACTTGCTAACTGGACCCAAGGTTTTGATTTTTAGATTTATTTAAGACACCTCCCACTATAAGAAATTAACTTTCGGGGCGCCTGGGTGGCTCAGTTGGTTAAGCGGCCAACTTCGGCTCAGGTCATGATCCGCAGTCCGTGAGTTCGAGCCCCGCGTCGGGCTCTGTGCTGACACCTCAGAGCCTGGAGCCTGTTTCAGATTCTGTGTCTCCCTCTCTCTGACCCTCTCCCATTCATGCTCTGTCTCTCTCTGTCTCAAAAATAAATAAATGTTAAAAAAAAAATTTTTTTTTTAAATAAAAAAAAAAAGAAATTAACTTTCTTGGATGATGTGATAATGGTATTGTGCTTATGGGTGTTTGTTTTTTTTTAAGGAATTATTTTAGAGATACATTTTGAAATATTTATCATGAAATATACCTTAAGATCTTCAAAATAATCAAGTGTGGGATGTGGAGAAGAGGCTTAAATAAAACAAAATTGGTACAAGAAGCTGGATGACAGGAACATAGGAGTTCATTTTATTGTTCTACTTACTCATGTTTTAAATTACTTTTATTTTACTTTGTTATGTAATCTTTACCCCAATGTGGGCTTGAACTCACGATCCTGAGACCAACAGGCGCAGGCTCTACCGACTGAGCGAGCCAGGTGCCCCTCAGATGGTGTTATTTTATCTTCCTTAAAGTCCTGGATTTTATGGATTTTGACACCATTTCTCAATCCTAGCTTTTTCTGAGATGGCAATTACCATACATGAATATTTTCCAAGATAAAGTCTAATTAAGAGGAAAAAGGTTCATTCTATAGACCACTATTTTATGAGACGTTGGCTTTCTTTTCCAATGATTAAACTATTGGGATTATGTAACTATTTGCGAATTGAGAAAAAAATGTAATTTAATCACACCCCCTAGGTTTGGCCTAATTGTTATTCTACTAATGTGTAATTTCTGCTTGCTGTAAATTCAAAGTTTCAAAAGGTAAAACTGTTAATACTACTAACAAAAAACTGTTTAACTAAAACTGTGAAAAATCTACGATTTAATATAAAAAGCACATTAGCGGGCACCTGGCCGGCTCAGTCGGAAGAGCATGCGACTCTTGATCTCCAGTTGTGAGTTCAAGCCTCACATTGTGTGTAGAGATTAATTTTAAAAAATAGTAAATAAACTAAAAAATATATATGTTAAAATAAATAAGTAAATAAATAAAAGCACATTAACTTACAACATTGTCAGCCCAGTCTGCTAGTACTGTTGAGATATAGTTCACAGCATTGAGAATTGCACAGTATCGAAAGCCAAGGGAAGCTCTAGTCTCTTCTTTCATCACCTGAGTTAACCGTATCCTGAAATCATCTACTAAGTCCTTCTGTAACTCCAGGAACTGTAGCTTTCTGGAAGCTGTGGGAAGATTTTTATATCTGTCTGTGGAGAAAGTTAACAAGACATGTGAAAGTTTTGCTTCTGCCCAGGACACAGTTACAGGTTTTCCCTATTGACATGCTTTGGTACCTTTGTCAAATAATCAATCGACCATCCAAGCACGGATCTATTTCTAAACTTTACAAGGTTGCAGGTTTCACAAGTATATGTACTTGTCAAAACTCACTGAACTGTATACTTCAGATTTATGTTCTCCATTGTATATAAATTACAGCTCAATTTTTGTAAATGTTTATTTTTGAGGGGGGGGAGAGAGAGAGAGAGAGAGAGAGAGAGAGAGAGACAGCTCAAGCAGGGAAGGGGCAGAGAGAGAGGGAGACACAGAATCTGAAGCAGGCTCCAGGCTTCAAGCTGTCAGTACAGAGCCAGATGCGGGGCTTAAATCCACGAACCGTGACCTGAGCCAAAGTCAGATGCTTAACCAGCTGAGCTGCCCAGGCGCCCCACAGTTTAATTTTTTAAAGGCATGAGGAAATTATAGATGGGCCCTGATTTATTATGGTTCAACTTAAGATTTTTCAAGTTTACAATGGTACAAAAGCTATACACATTTATAGGAATTATTTGAATATTTTATTTGGATCTCTTCCCAGGCTGGCAATATGGGATACAACCCTCTCATGATCCTGGGCAGCGGGAGAGCGGCATATCTCCATCAGCCATGGGATCATGAGGGTCAACAACCAATGCACTTACAGCCATTTT